ATAATAGCCACCTTAACTGATGTGAAGTGATATCTCAGTGATGTTGAGAACTTTTCTGTGTAACTGTGGGCCATTGTACATCTTCTTTGGAAAAAATGTCTATTCAAGACCTTTGAATATTTGATTTATTATGATATTGATCAGTATAATTTCCTTAATATTTTAGGTATTAACCTCTTATCATATGTATGGTTGCAAATATTTTCTCCCAGTCTATAAGTTGCCTTTTCATTGTGTTGATTGTTTCTTTTTTGTGCAGATGCTTTTTAGTTTGGTGATGGCACACTTGTTTATTTTTTAGTCTGTTGCCTTCACTTTCACTATCAAATCTGAGGAATCATTGCTAAGATCAATGCCAAAAGCTTTTCCTCTATATTTTCGTTCATCAATGTCTTCTAGATTTTGTAGTACAGATGTTTTAAATTCTTTGTTAAATTTATTTATTAGTACTGTGTTGTTTTTGATGAATTGAAATAGGATTACTTCCTTAATTTCTCTCTTAGATATGTTATTGTTAGTATATCAACCACAATTGATTTTTGTGTGTTAATTTATATCCTGCAACTTTACTGAATTTGTTTATTAGTTCTGACATTTTTTGATAGTCTTTAAAGTTTTCTATACATGAATTTCATGTCATGTTCAAATTATACTTTTTCCGTTCAAGTTATGATGCTGTTTATTTCATTTTCTTGCCTAATTGCTCTGGCTAGGACTTCCAGAACTATATGGCATAAAAGGGTGAGGGTGGGCATCCTTGGCTTCTTCTTGACTATAAAGGAAGTTCTTTCATGTTCAATATGAAGTTAATCATGGGGTGTCCACTTATGGACATTATAATGTTGAGGCATATTCTTTCTGCAGTCTGTTAAGAGTTTTTAATCTTTGAAGTATATTGAATTCTTTCAACATCCTTTCCTTCATAGGTTGGGATAATCATATGATTGTCACCCTTCATTCTATTAATATAGTATTTCACATTTATTGATTTGTGTATATTAAACCATCCTTGCATTTCTGGAATAAATCACACTTGATGATGGTATATGATGCTTTCAATGTGCTGTTGGATATTCTTTGCTAGTATATTATTGAAGATTTTTGTATCTAACTTCTGCTGGGATATTGGCCTGTGATTTTTTATTTCTTATTTTCTTATCTGGATATGGTACCAGGATAATTTAAAGCTCATAAATTTGAAAGTGTTCCTTTCTCTTTAATTTTGCAAAAGAGTTTGAGAAGAATTGGCATTAATTTTTCTTTAAATATTTGGAAGAATTCCCCCATGAAGCCATTGGTATTGGGCTTTTCTTTGTTTCGAGAGTTTTAATTATTGATTAAATTTCCTTGCTAGTTTTAGCCCTCTTCAGATTTTTTATTTCTTCATGATTCAGTCTTGGTAAGTTTTATATTAGAGAATTTTTTAAAGGTTATCTAACTTCTTGGAAAATTGCTCACAGTAATCTGTTAAGATCCTTTACATTTCTGTGGTGTCAGTAATAACATCTTTCTTTCATTTATGTATTTATTTATTTCAGTCTTCTCTCTTTCTTTTTTAAGTATAGCTAAGGGTTTTTCAATTTTTTTTTATCTTCTCAGAAAGCCATCTCTTAGTTTTGTTGATCTTTTGTATTGTTTTTCTTGTTTCTACTTAATTTATTTCTTCTTTGATTTTTGTTATATCCTTCAAGTATTAAACTATGACTTACTATATAAAAATCAAATCAGTTTAATCATAGTAATAGAAAAAAAAAAGAAAAGAAAAACAGATCAATTGAACAGGACCAGGTAGCCCAGAAACAGATCTCATTATAAAATAATTATATGTCCATGAAAAGCAGAGTATTACACAGCAAAGCAGAAGAATATGATCATTCAGTAAAATAGTGTTGGTATAACAAAATAAAATATTAATTTAGATTCTCATCTCATAGCATATGCTAAAATAAATTCCAGAATAAAATTTTAAAAGAAGCTTTTAAACAAATAGAATGAAGGTGAACATTTATTAACTGAAGCATTGGAATACATCGCAGTGGTAAAAAGCAACAATTTTCCTATGTAAACATTCCCTGAGAAGGAAGCACCAGGAAGGCAAGAACCCCAAGAGGTATCACTCATTACTAGCCTGTGCCTAGCACGTTGTGTGTACTCCAATAAATCTTCATAGAATAAATAAAAAACATCGTATTTACTTTTTTGAAAGGCAGCATCACTACCATTTTTTAAAATGACAAATTGGAAAAAAGCATTTATTATATATATGAACCAAGATTAGTATCCTTCTCTAATTAAAAGTTTACACAAACGGTAAGAAACTTTATTAAGATTCATGAGATGGACACGTATGTAAATGAACTGTTTACAAAAGAGGGAATACAAACATTAAAGAACATTGGGCAACATGCTAAATGTTAGTAGTAAAGAATTGCATATTATCTGCCAAATTACAAGATTTTAAAAAATAAAATGTAAGACAGCCAATGAGGGTAAGGCCATCTCATACAGTTTGGGTTGTTAATGCAGATAGCATAGGTCATCTCACATAGTTTGAGGGGTTAATATGAACTTTTTAGAAGGATGATTTTGCATTCTCTATTCACAGCCTTAAAAATATTCACTGCTTTTGACCCTGTAATTGCTTTTTTAAAAAATTATTTTCTTTTAGAGACAGAGTCTCACTTTGCGCCCTCAGTACAGTGCTGTGGGCACAGCTCACAGCAACCTCCAGCTCTTGGGCTTAGCCATTCTCTTGCCTCAGCCTCCCGAGTAGCTGGAACTACAGGCACCCGCCACAAGGCCCAGCTATTTTTTTACTGCAGTTTGGCCAGGGCTGGGTTTGAACCAGCCACCCTTGGTATATGGGACCGGTGCCCTACTCACTGAGCCACAGGCACTGGCCACTGTAATTGCTTTTTAGAGACTGCATCTTAGATAAATTACCTGTTAGAAAGAAAAAGAACGTATACCAAAAAAGTTCAGCAAAGAGTCAGAGAGATTGGTAAAAATTAGGCAACTGAACGTCCAAAAATGGGAAAATAAATGTAAAATACGCTATGGCCACAAAATGGAATATTAATGCAGCCATTTAAACCATTTCTATAAAGGTTTTAAAATACCACTGGAAAATAAGTTATTTTAAAAGACAGAAGACAATTATGTTGTGATGTAAACGATAAAAATATACATAGAAAAAATAGGATACATTTATTACATAATAACATTTATTAGTGTTTATTCAAGGGGTAAGGATCCTCTCGGATTCTACACAGGTATTATCTCATTTACCCTCACACCAACCCTATGACCGTACACTTTTATCTGTCCCATTATACAGAAGAGAAAGCTGAGGCACTGAGGGGAGAGGCTTCAAAATCTCCAAGCAGAGGCGCAGGATTTGATATCAGGCAGGCCGGCTTCCTGGTCCATCTTAATCGATGCCCCGCATCTCCCGTCTTTGTTTCACACACTTGATCTTAGCCAATAGGCCGAGAAGCGACAGCCTATGTTTGTTTTAAAAAACTGTATTTTCAGTAGTTTTCTGAGCGGAGGGCAGTGGGGAGGTTAAGGTCTCCTTTGACCTTCAGATCTTCCAAAATTTCTACAATAAGCACGATTTTGGATCATTAAAAATGACGTTGGTAATAGTAATATTAAAAAGAATCAAGTCAACTTCATCTTGTGTTGTCAGTGTGGGATTATCTGCACCACCATTTCCAGTTCGTTTTTTACAGAAGCTCTGGGGAGCCTCAGGTCCCCTCTCCAGCTTGCTCAATCGGTCTCCCCGGGTTCCACCCACAGCCCAGAAGTTCTGTTCATTCTTGAAGTGCGCGCTCTTTTCTCCCTGCGCCAGTGTCGCAGCAAACAGCTCCAGGGTATTGTCCTCAAGCGTTCAATGGCTGCAGGAACCGAGTCTTTGGACCTTCCCAGGTTCCGCCCCCAGCTGGCCTCGCAGACCCTCAGCGGCCGTGGGTTCAAGCCCCTGTCGCAGGGTCAGGGAGGGCACTCACTCACCCGAGGACGCAGCCACCTTCCCGAGAGAGAGCAGCAGCAGGGACATCCCGGGGAGTGGCAGGGCCGGAGTCGGTCTGTGTTCACAGTTCCGAGCAGCAGGGACCTCCCGCGTCTTGAGGGTTCGGGTCTGGGGACCAGCTGGACAGCCGCAGTCCTGCAGCGGCGCGCATTGGGGGTAGGCGCAGAGGCTCGGGAGACAGTAGCGCGAGCGGCTGACCATCCTTCATCCGACCAGGACAGTCTGAAAACAATGATTATTTCATGGTGACTCAGAAGTAGCCCTTGAGAAAACTCAATGTTAATTAAAGAGGGTTGTCGGGGGCAAAATTCACAGCTTGCGTTTTGGGGGGAGTGGTGGTGGGGCGATCGCGTTAACGCGCGTGTTCTCCCGAGAGTCATAGTCTCGGGTTGGGAGCAAAAGACCGGGAACTAACTGTGCAGTCCGTGGGAACCAAAGGCTGACTTTGGGGAACTCGGGCAAGGGTCGCCTTTTGACAGCGCGGCTACTGGTCCAGGGGGCGACCCAGGTTTTCCCGGTCGCTGGGGGGAAAGTTCGAGCCAGCCTTGCTGGAGCGAGATCTTCGCGACGCTAAGTCAGCTCGGCCGCCGGCTCCTCTGCTTAGAACGAGCTCTTCTCATTTCCCGGATCCGTTCGCGGGACAGTGAACCCCCAAATCCTTTTCCCTAAGAGGCTAATAAAAAGGTGTTTACAGACCGTGGGGGTGGGATACGATGCAAGTAACCTGTTTTGACGTTTGAAAACCAGATGCCGGGAATCATTGAATCATATATTGCAAGTTTCCGTGTCTCATGAAATTTGGGGGGTCACTTGTTGGGTTTGTGAAAATCTCTGCATCTCGCGCCCCAAGTTGACGGCTCCGCTGCGGAAAGCGGGGCAGAGCGGCGGTGGGGAGGGTCTCCGGAGCCAGGCGCTGCGCGCGGGGCTTCTGCTGTTTCCTGCCTCGGAGTCGCAGTGTCCGCCCGGCCCAGAACGGTTTGTGCAATTCAGAAACTCGATAGGAGGCAGCAGCTGATCTCCCACCACCCTAAAAATAATCTGCTCGGGCGGCGCTGCGTGCTTCTGCTAGGGGAGGACAGCTGTCATCGGAGTAAGTGAATCCGTGTCTTTTCCATATATTTCATTTAAAAATTGTAAGGGGTGACTGTAAACTGTGGATTTTGATCTAACATTTCGGCAACCAAAGGCGTCCGCTCCCTCTCGGCGCTTTGCTTCCACGCTGGCTATTCCTAGATGAAAGGATGAGGCCCGGCGGAGAAGAGAGGGGGTGGTGGGGGGCGGTCAGGTTTCCAGTTTTACTTCAAAACCGCCGGCTTCTACACAAACCAACTGGAAACCGTGAAAAGAGTTATTATTACATTTTTTTGTATGGTCCGTGAAGTAGCTTTCTATCTGTTTAACTTTTGCTATTCTTTGCTTTTTTTTTTTTTTTTTTTTTTTTTTTTAGGAGTTCTGCGTCCTGGTTTGAAATTTACAGCTTAAGACGGTGTAGGTAGTCTGATGTTTTGAAAGTAGCACAAGTGCACCCGCAGGGGTTTGAAGCAGCACCAAGGTATTTCTTTATTTTCTGCTTTATTTGTTCAGTTCGGATTTTCTTTTTAAAGTCTCACTCCAGGGTCTGTCTAAGGCATAGCTGCTGAGCAGTTACAGCATTTCTTTCGGTGTAGGGTAGAATTTCGCAGCTACTGGAGAGGAAATGGGTGAATTAAATAAATCAGCAACTAATTCAGAAGTCAGTGGTCTTTTTTGCTAGTGATTTCCCTACTTGGATCTGTCATAGCTAGCCAGCTAGAAAGACAGCTAGTTTTTTTCATGAACCATCCACTAAGCAACTTCAAAGTTAATACTGCATTAGTTTTACAAGGGATCTCCCTCCTGAAAATCCCTAGATAATGGTAAAGCCCTAAGTTGTTGAAAATGTCGTGTTTCTCTCTCATAACACAATTTGCTTAGCCTCTAAGTAACTAAAGAATGAATTGTTTTGTATGCAACCATGACAATTTTATATTGAGTTTAGTGTGTTTTCTTCAGGTGTTTTCCAGCATTTTCTGCTCTCTGGCATTCCTATTTAATTAGAGTGACCACTTGCTGCTGGATGGACAGGAAAGAGAGTTTGTTTTCACTGACTTTACTAATAGTCTACTTCCAAAGGCGAGGCCTGGCAAAAATAAGTGGTATACCTGGCATACCTTCACATCTTAAAGAATTGTTAGAATTCTTTAAGTAGTTAGAACAACTACTTTCTCCTCTTACAGAAAAACCAACAGAGCTAATAAGTCAATTATTATATTAATTGGCTAAATTTAAAAGTTTTGGGGTGTGGAACTTCATACAGTGCATTTTAAGGAATAAGAATACTGAGAGTACTGTTCTCACCATGAAATCATACATTAGAGCCTGGAGATTGTTTTCATTTTAAGTTTTCTGTTGTATAAATCATCCTTACGATCAAAGTTTCACTTTTGATCTTTCTCTTTAAAGTTCATTCAGTCAAGTTCTCCTGTCAACTCTCTGAAACACTGGAATACCTGTCAGTGTTTCCGTGGGAGGAAAACGTTATGTCTTCTCATCTGTCCTCTCTTCCCTCCTCTCCTTCCTTCTTGATAGAGGGTCTTTGTCAGTGTTTCATTAACCTAGGCAGCCCCAGAAGGGGGGGTTTAGTCAGTGAGAACAGCCATCCATAACCTTCCCCAAGCATTCCTTGAAAGAAAGACAAGATACCATTGGTCAATCACACGTTTGACAGCCTGTAATAATCTCACTCCGAATCCAGTGTGACATAAACATGTGAAACAAAGGCCAGCAAGGGTACAGACTTAAATTGCTGCTGCTTGCTTTCAAGAATAGATGACATAATCTCTTAACAAAACAAGCTGGAGGTTGCGTGATGTAGTGGAAAGTCATAGTTTATAAGTCAGACATGTGGAAATGGATCTGGTTCCCCCACTGAACGTGATTTGTGGGAAGGAAACATGGAATGACAGTTGGGAATTTAAGAATTAATTAGACATCCTGATTGAATAAGATGTCTTTGATAAACACCATAATTATCAAGATAATCTGCAATAAATTTGCTCCTTCCCTCTTTTTGGTTGTATTGTGGGCTGGCTGTTAGAATGTGCCACGTGAACACTGGGTACCTGCAAAGGTGTCTAAGGGTCAAGGGAGAAAGCTGTTTAAGGAAGCAAAAGAAAAGGTAAAAGAAGCCATGTGGTAAGAGGTAGTGGACAGGCTGGGAGCCAGAGGGAAAAAGTCAAAAGCTTTACCTTTACCAATTCAAGGCACACACCTTTGCATGATGGTGTCATTGGATAATTCCCTGTCTTTTACATCAAATATCCTAGTATACCAAGAACTGCTGGGACTAACAGAGTCTGATTTATATAGTCTAGGATCACAGGCACTGTTTCTGTCTTTTGCACTATTGCATTCCTAGTAACTCACACATAGTCAGCAACGATACGTATCTTTACAGTTAATTAAATAATGGCCTACAATCCCAGATATCTGATATATATATAGCTAAAAAGGTTCTCAGACTTTTCCATGTTCTATTTCATTGAGATTTTCTTTCCACAGTTACACAGAGCATTTATCCCCAAATGATTTAATTGATAGGCTTCAAGACTGAATAAATAAATACTAGGCAGGCCATTCTTATAGCTAATGAAGGATGTAATTTGCAAATTCGGATTACATGTGTATTTTAGCATCTGGCTCAATGATAATGGTTTATAAATGTGGCCACCTGGAGTATTATAATTTTGGATAAAATTATAAAAGTAGCTAAAGCAAAAATTATTTTCTGGTTCATGCTAGGAAACAGTTTATACATGTCTTTCAATTTCGAGTGGGCTTTAAGTTTCCTTTTAGCATTTCTACCAAATGAAGTAGCCTTAAAGAATTCATTACTCAATGTTATTTTTTAGCTTTTGTTTTATTCCGTCTTTCTCAGAGCTACATCTCACCTACACACTCGAGTCAATAACTTCCATTTTTAAAATTCTCAGGTCCTTCTACATTCTTTTATTCAGCTTAGAATCTTGATCACTTACAAGAATTTGCCAATTACATAACTTCATTTCGAGTTAAAAAAAAAAAAGTTTTAAAAGATGAGAAAAATACTCACTAGAGTCCATACCAGTGATTTATCAAAAAAGGGGTCATCAGAAATAATACTGAGAAACTTTCTGTTTAAGCATTTAAGATTATAAATACATAGAGTCTCCAGCTATTGTGTTCACGTAATGCTTTATAAAATTATTGCTCAAAAGTTTATTTCTCCAATAATTTACTCATTGTTGCCAGTCTTTTCTGTGTACCATTCTTGGTTTCTTTTCTAGGAAAACTATTAGAGAAAAATGGTCTGTGACCATTGCTAAGTCAATTGTCAATGAAAGAAAGAAAAGATACTCTGTTAGTCAATCACAATTTTGCCAACCTTTAATAGTCTAAGTCAAACTATTAAAGACTAACCTTTAATAGTCTAACTCAGAATCCAGTGTGTCATAAATGTGTACAAGAAACAAAGGCCAGAGAGGTTACAATCTTAAATGGCTACTTGTTTTCAAAATAAAACAAGTTGGAGTTTGCAGGATGCGGCGGGAAGTCATAGTTCCTACGTTAGACATGTGGGAGTGGATATGGCTCCTCTACTGGTTGGCTCATTATTGAACCTCTCTGGACTTCAGTATCTTCCCCTGTAAAAAGGGAATAACACCACAAACCTTATGAGGTTGGTCTGAGGACTTAAGATAATGCATGCACAGTCCCAGAATTTAGTAGGTGCTGAGTAAATGATAGGTGCTATGAAAGTTGTTTTCAGAATGCTAAAGCTCTTGCTGTAATTTCACAGCAGTGTTTTTATGGAACAGACCTTCATGCCTCTATCATCTGTTTAAGCACAGCACTGAGAGGGATCCGTTTATTAATAGAATTTAAGCGAGAGCTTGTCACTCCTCTGCTCAAAGAGCTCCAGGGGCCCACTTCTCTCAGGGTAGAAGCCAAAGTCCTGACAATGACTTAGCCCTGCGTGGTCTTGGCCTCCGTTTCCTCTCTAAACTCATCTGCTTGTATGCTCATGAAGTACAGATTTCCAATTAAAAGACACCCTTGGTTTTAAACTTGAGTGCATTGCATGTGAGAATATTCTAATGAGGGGCCTGGAGTATTTTCTTTAACTTGCCACTTGAGCAATATTTAATTTGTCTTGAGGACTGGATTTCTAATGTTCTTCGGAGAAAGACTGATGTCTCTTACCAGCCATGTTCACCTCTGTGTATTTCTATTTTCTGCAATTAATGAAATGTTTCAGAAAACTGTGTCCAGCTGAGGTTGTTCCTAAAGCACTTTCAATGAATGTAAGGAAGAATGTGAAACTGCACCCTTTTGACCTTCCAGTCATTAGTTCAATTTTTTCTCCTGCTTTTTGTGATATATCACCATTTTCGTTCTTTGAATCATTTTAGTCAAACAGACCGAGTATTTGGAGATTACTACTATCAGTACATACTCATTATAATATAGTTTTCAAATTAAAATATTTCTTCTAGAAAAAAGTATGAGAAAGAAAACCTCAGAGAGGATTTATGGGAAACATTTATAGAACCTTTGTAGAACCTTTGTACATAGAGTTACTCTATGTAACTCTACCATGGAGTTTCTGACTTTGTCAACTGAAAAAAATAAGGGCGACTAATTTTATTAGGTAATCACTTATTTAAGGATATAGTTTTATGAAAAAGAGTTTAGTCATCAGAAGGGATTTTCTTTCTTATTTCTCACCCTTTTAGAGTGAACCATATACGAAGACATGAGCCTTTCATTTTGTGGTAACAACGTTTCTTCGTATAATATCTATGACGGTGTGTTAGAGAACACCTGCTTTGTGGATGCCCTCAACCTGGTCCCTCACGTCTTCCTACTGTTTATCACTTTTCCAATATTGTTCATTGGTAAGTAACCTAATGGCCTGTAATATACCGCCTGATGTTTATAATTCTTATGAGGGGCTGAGATTTGGGATAATGTTGACTTAATTTCTCCAACAAGTAAGCTAATGTGTACATCTGCGAGAAATGAACAAGCAGGTATTTGTGTTTCCAATGATGCAATTTTTGGCATGTAATATTTCCTAGGTGCGGTCCCATGCTCACTTATTAGTGACCTTCAGGCAGCAGTGGTAGTTTTTGAAAAAGAAGGAAAGGGGTAATTTTATAGATGGAGCGAAAGCATCTGATCAATATTCGCTTTGTGCTGGGTGAAGGGAATGAAGAATGGGTAGGCAGGACAGAGCACTCGCCTTCCAGGACGCATGTTATGGAGATGTGTCAAAGTCAAGGGAAATGAGGATGCCAGGGTGTGAGCCCACTTCCAGGTACTCTTCTTGAGGCAGGTAGGATAGGGTGAAGGACATGCTTGGGGACTCGAAAGATACAGAATGTGCAGATTAAAGCGGGAGTGATAGCTTGTGTTTGGGGTAGAAAGAGCACATGCACAAACTATTTGGAAACAAGTGAATATTACAATACAGTTCCCTGTATTATTTCATAGTTTACATATGTCCCAAATCCAGTTATTTAGGGCAATTATTTATAATTTTTCTAACTTCTCTCAAACTACCAAAATAGACCATTTAACTTTTCAAATATTATAAAATATTTTGGTATCTAAAATGATGAAGATTAATATACTGCCCATCCATTGAACCTATCTCCACTCACCTCAAGGGATATAATAGTAAGAAGGAAAGAGACTCCCTCTGCATAACATTTCCTGGTCTTGTTATTCTTCCCATATCCTGGCTTTTCGGAGGAGGTTACTGCTATTTTGAATTATTTGTGTTTAATTTTCCCATGCATAATTTTGCCTATAAAAATAAATGAAAAAGTTACCAGATGGATTTTCTTAAGAAAACTATAATAATGTAATGGCATACATTAAAGGAAAGTTTGAAGATAATCTATATGCTTTTACTTATTTACTTAACACATATTAATGGAGAGGATAACATGCCTTTGGGATTATTCTAACAGAGATTAAAGAATTTCTGTCATGGTATATACAGAGGCCAACGTAACTCTTGATACATATTTGTTTTAAATGAATGTTCAGACACTAAATATATTGGGACCAGAGTGGCCATATGTAGAAATAGTGATTGTTTATGTGACATTATTTGTAGAGTTCTAGGAGGCCCATTGGGCAAAATTGGAATTTTTTTTTTTACTGTTAATTGCAATTAATAATTTATTTTTGACATTTAATTAACTTCTGGAGACCAAGGACTATGACATTCCCTTCTGCATCCCTAATATCCAGCAAAGAGGCTGACAACCAGGGTATTGGAATAGAGTGGAATTGGAGTGGACATTGTGAAAGGGCAATGGAGTAAAAGGCAGGCCTCCTTTATAGCATGGGCTACTAAACTTAGAGAGGGATCATAAAGAAGTATCAGGTGCTAGGAAAATTATAATGTTGCAAAAAAAGGCATGGAGTTTTCCTACAGGAGTAGCACTAGAACATACTAACTGTAACTAACCTTCCAAGGATGAAGCAAATCTAGAACCAACTGACACAAGCACCAACTTTCCGTTCATAGAGTTTTTCAGGGGTAACTTGTTGTCTATTCAGAATTGCTTTCCTGCAATATTTCAAGCACAAATCTCCATTTATCCTTGGAGTTTATGGAGTTTTTGTCCTACGGGGTAGAAAATATCCATTTTTCTACTTTTGGCCTAAGGGCATTCGTAGTGACCTGCAAAAAAATGAGAAAATAAGGGAACAAAAGCAGACAAAGTGGAATCCATTCCTAGCATTCCATATATGAAGAGGGATTACTAAAATGCCATCTCGAATTTCTTCTTTGGTGATGAGCTGACTGGAGAACTATAATGTTTTTGAGCCTGCTTGGAAGATCTTTAACTTTAACTTTCTTTGAGAAAAGCATCAATGCCACTTTGCAGCAATTTTTTTGCATATCATAGGCATATAATTAAGAGTTGACTTGCTAAGGAGTCTTGCAGCTCATAACCAAGTAAGTCTTTTCTTGTTAGTCTCCCACACGTCGCAAGTTTTGAAATACTTTAGACACCAAATTTCTTTTATTATGATCATCAGTTGGCTTCCTTTTGAATTGATCAGAAAGCTGTCCGGAAGACCTGATTAGCAGGAGATAAAACTATATTGTCTTCTAGAGTTGGGGTTATAACTGAGCAGTGAAACAAATGTTAATGCTTTAGCCTGGGCAGTCTGAAATTGTTATTCTTTAACATAAGGAAAATAGATCAGGATTTCCATTGCCATCCTAGAAGACAATAATGTTCGCAGGAGCCCCTACCCTAAAAGCGCATCATAATGTGCATACGGTAAGTTATTTCCATGATTATAATTGATCCTTTTGTTTATCTCTTTTTTATTTTATTTTTTTTCAGGATGGGGGAGCCAAAGTTCAAAAGTACAAATTCATCACAACACATGGCTGCATTTTCCTGGACATAACCTGAGATGGATTCTTACATTTGCGCTCCTGTTTGTGCATGTTTGTGAAATAGCAGAGGGCATCGTGTCAGACTCGTAAGTGGCTTGATGTGCGTTACCCCATTACGACATACCAGCAGGTATATCATCCATGCAGGTGGAGCTAAGAATGCATCAAGTCAGGCTTAACTCATGGGGCATGACACATTAGGAACACAGCTGTTCCCCGTTTTATATGATAACCATGGTTTTGTCTGCATTTTTGTATTGCTACATGTTTATCTGATAACACAAGTTCAGGTCTCTGACGGGCCCAGGCATGTGTTTTATGTTCTTCCCAATCCATGCGGCCCTTGCAGAAAATTCTTCTCTCCTAGACATTCCAATGTTTAATTTATCTTTAAAAATAGGTATAAATAGAACGATTGCCTATGTTGAGATAGAGTTTTAATAGCTATACAGGGTGGCCATAAAGTTCACGTGCAGTTTACATATTAATCAGTTTTCAGATGTTTCCATTTATTTTGTAAAGAAGTAAAGACAGATGAAACAGGCATGCAAGAAGTCCAGGAACCAGTGAGGATAGACTCAAAAAAATTGAGGCAAAGCAGAAAATTGTTTTAAAATCAAGATTTGTGACTTCCTCTCAAGTTTAGCTTAGGGTCTGCGGGGTCCCCCCAAGTTTGACATGCATATCGAGAAGTGTTATTTCTGTTCAGGGCCAGTCTACCCTAGCCACGGCACGATGTTTGTCCGCAACGATTTCAAGGTGTTCAGATTTTGTTAATCCAAATGTCACAAAAACTTTAAAAAGAAGCACGATCCTCGCAAGGTCAGGTGGGCTAAAGCATTCTGGAAAGCAGCTGGTAAAGAGCTTACTGTGGATAATTCATTTGAATTTGAGAAACGTAGACACGAACCTGTCAAATACCAGAGAGAGCTATGGAATAAAACTATTGATGCAATGAAGAGAGTTGACGAGATCAAACAGAAACGCCAAGCGAAATTTATAATGAACAGACCAAAGAAAAATAAAGAGCTACAGAAAGTCCAGGACATCAAGGAAGTCAAGCAAAACATCCATCTTATCTGATACCCCCAGGCAGGCAGAGGAAAGAAGTTGGAAGAGAAAATGGTACAGCAATTCCAAGAGGATGTGGACATGGACGATGTTTCCTAAAAACTTACTGTCTGTAACCATTTCTATGTGCACATTTGGAAATGTTTTCTAGAGACAGAGCTTTAAGTTATTGATTTATTTTTTATATAGGGTCACTCAAATGAAAGGGGATTAAACAAATATCACCTACATTGCAGTCTGCAAAAAATCACATAGTATGGATGTTTGATTGCATCTCAGTGTTAAACCTTCACTACAGATGTGCTTATGTAAATTATGAAAGTTCTGTTTTTAAAGACAGAAGTGAATTGTGGGCATACAATGGTCATGCTATTTGGATAATGGCCTTGGGCAGGTCCTATTATGCAAAAACTAAGGATAAAAGTTCTGACTAGTGATACGTGAAACTAAAATTTTCTTTACAGTAAAATAATCCCTTTATTAATGTTTTGTAGACAGGAGATACAGCAAGGAACTAACAATTTGTGACTATTAGTTTCCAATAACATCTTTTATTTTGATCAGTCTTTCCTGTTTTTAGCATCTTTCAAGAGCATAATGGCCTTATATCATAAAGCCTAGACTGAACTACTTTGGCTGGGTTTAACTGTTCTTTTTTTTTTAGAGACAGAGTCTCACTTTATTGCCCTAGGTAGAGTGCTGTAGCATCACAGTTCATAGCAACCTGGCTCTTGGGCTTAGGTGATTCTCCTGCCTCAGCCTCCTGAGTAGCTGGGACTACAGGTGCCCACCACAACGCCTGGCTATTTTTTGTTGCAGTTTGACCAGGGCCAGGTTTGAACCTGCTACCGAGTTTAACTGTTCTAAAAGCTAGTTATGGATGTTGGGGATGAAAGCTGAATAGTCTTTCCCTGAAATGGCACTGTATAATGTCCACTTGGGGAATATTCAGTTCCACCTTGTGATTCCTGGCAGAATAAGCTTGATTTTTCTAGCCCAGCAGTGAAGAAGAGGAATCCATTGCCTTTTAAAGTTTGTTCTGTGATTTTATTTATAAAAGTTCCTGATTGTTTTTGTAAAGTAGAATTTATGGGTAGAACACCTTTCCATTAGTTGCACAAAAAATAAAACCATTCTTAAAGTAAAAAAAAAAATCAAGATTTGCCATAAAAGCAGTATTTTTTAAAGGAATTTTATCATTCTTAAAAAAGAAATCCTTTGTATTAGGCAGTTAGAATACAATGAATTGCATTTATAAACCTGAAGATAAACTAGGGAGAATATTTTTCTCATACAGTGAGAAGATAAAGTTAAGTACAGGGGAGTCCCCAAGTTACAAACATCCAACTCATGTATAACTTGCACTTAAAGTCAGAGGCCATGACAGTAGGTCCCCAAGTTACGAATGCCCGACTGAGGTATGACTTGCACTTGTGAAGGGAGGCTATTACAAGTAATAGAAAAATGTACCTGCTCCAACTTACATACAAATTCAACTTAAGAACAACCCGCAGAACCTATCTCATTCATCACCAGGGACTGTAATAGGAAAATTTTCATTATGAATTTATGCTAAATGATATACCTTTCCTGAAGAGTTAATAGAAGGCCTTTAAAGCTATAAAAAGGAAACCTCCAGAAATAATTTTCTTCTTATCTAATCAGAACCTCTCCCACATGTGTTTATGGTTTTCTGTAGCAATTAGCAAGTAATGAATTTCCAGACTCTTGCTATGGAGCTAACTCCACGTAATGCTTTGTAAGGGTCTGGTGCAGATATGTTTGCATGCCTTCATTTCTGAGAAGAAGAAAAATTAAAGGCTCCTTAATGCACGCCATCTCCCCCTGCCTTTAGAAGCTTGGGAGGAAGCCATCGTATAATCTTACTGATTACTGTGTAAAACCTTTGGTATATTTGCACTAGCAAGGTCAATTCTAGTCTTAATTTTTTAATTTTGTTAATATTTAGGCTGATTCTGTGTTTCTATGTGCATGGATTAATATGAAATGGATGATAGATCAGTCGGATCTATCTTAAAAACTTGATGTTCTGTGAATAAGGCGAGCTCTTCCTTTCCAGCCTAGTGGTTGATGATGTTCAGTAGGAGACTTGGAAAATGCAGACTGAGCACTTGATAATGACCTGTGCTAATGAGGAAACTCGTTTGTAGTGGTGGTGATACCCAGGGCCTTCCTAAAGACAAACAGGCAAACACATACCCTTGATCTTGTGCTTTGCTCTCCCATTCTTTAGACTTTTTCTTCTTTCCCCCTTTCTCCAGGCTTTTCAAAAAGTTATTTTCCAGTTACTTTCAAACCCAAAAGTTCTCTTTCTCTCTTGCGCTTTCTTACTCTGGAAACTGTCTCTACAAGACTCTCTGTGATCTTTAATGCCACTTTAATGGATACCTTTATCTTTGTCATAGTTATTACTTTTGACCCTGCCGATCATTCTTTCCTTCTCTTTTTTTTTTAACAAAATCTTTATGAACTCTACTTGATATATAACAAATGCTCATTCTCATTAGTCAATCGTTAATAAGGAAATGCCACAGTAAGTATAAAATCTTACCATAGCTGCTTATTAATTCTTTATAATTTCTTCCCTTAACGATGTTTTCTTATTTTTTTCTCACTTCTTAAATAGACTAATTTATTTCTCAAAATTCTTTCTTAAGGTCATGGATTTTCTTCTAGATATGGTAGTGACCGTATAGTTTTTGATAGAAAGTGTGCTCCTTTTTGAATTTTCTAAATATTCAGTAGTGAGTTTTGGATTCTTTTTGGTTCAATAATCAGAGAATATTGGAGGCTTTTCCTAATTTCTGTGCTGATGAAATATTTATCTCCTATTTTTTCCATTTTAACCATTCTGAACTATTTATGGGAGTTGGCAGGTGGTTTTTAAATGCATCATATTACATTCAAATAATGGTTATCAAGTCTACAATGATTCCAAGTTACACTACTGATAATGTTCCAAATCTCTTCCTACATTTCTCTCTTGGACAGTTCCCTTTGCGTGTTTATTAGACACCTTCACAATCCACCCGTCTCCACTGAGTCTTATTTGCGTCCTCCTTCCAATCTGCTCATCCTCTTAATACCTTATTTGGTTACCCATCCACCTGGATGTTATTTTCTACCTGTTCATGGCCTCTAACACTATTTTCCCATCCTGTTCATTGTAACAATTGATTTTTTCCATGGATATTATTTCCTGTTATTGCTGCCAAAACTTAAGCTAGGCCTTCATTATCACCCATGGCTT